CTGATTATTCACTCATGCTCATGTCATTCCAAACCCATATGACTTTCTTGATTCTGCTTTCTGCTGTGGAACGCAGGTGTTATGTAGTGAAGTTATATGTTATGTTGTGTTTTCTATTGTTGATCAAGTAACATTCTAATTATTATTAATGAAATCAATTAAAAAAAACAGCCATGCTACTTACAATTTTTTGTGAAAACCATGATACATTTTTTTCACAATTCTTTGATGAATCGAAAATTCAAAATAACAGCTTTTACTTGAAATAGATCTATCTATCTATCTATCTATCTATCTATCTATCTATCTTTGCAGTTTTCCATTAAAAATATGTAAATATTCTTAAAATATAAAATAAATAATGCATTTACTTCAGAAGTAAAACTGTAAATTATTTAATTTTAATAATAATGTAATTTATTATTATTATTATTATTTTAAAAATATATAATTTTATTATTTTAAGCATTCATCTTAAATCTAGTTACATTTTGTAAAAAAAAAAAGATTATTTGCATTGTTTCATTGTATGCAGCTTGAACAGTCTGCTCAATATCTCCTTTTGAATTCTACCCCCAAAAAAGAAAATCATGCAAGTTTAGAATAACACAGAAGTTTAATTTTTGGTTCCCTTTCTCTTTAATGTGCTCTACAGATTTCTCAAAGGAGACCCAGAAAGGAAGGCACAACTGAGAAAAGACAAGAGAAAAAGTGGCTGATGTATTGGTTCTTGTTCAGAGTTGAGTTCTCCTCTTGTCTTTCAACCGGATTGTGATAAGCTGTGGTTCGTGGCCAATTCTTTATCGCCCTGCGGCGCTCCTAACCTGACATTTTTATGACCTGCTCATTTGTCTGGCACCTTGGTAAGTGGCTCAGAGACTGCAATATATGACAGTCCTCAACTCGTTTTTTATTGACCCAACTATTACAATCAGAAGATAAGATACGATTTGGGTCTCTTTGAGGGAGAAAACATTCATTTTAAAACGACAGGAAACTCAAGACACTAAAGGATTTCCATGCACATATGAACGCAGGTGTAATACATGACTCACAGCTGTGTAAAAGAGGGCACGGAGAAGATAGAAACTAGGGCTGGGCAAAAAATCGAATGCGATTTTCATGCGAATAGATAAGTAGAAAGTAGAAACATGCATCACGCGGAGCAAGAAGATCTAAAGCTCTAGTAAATATTTTCAATAAACCCTTCCCACATCCTCGAGCAAAAGAAATTGTAGCCATGACAATGAATTATTAAAAAGGCATTCCACATCTGAAGCAACCAGTAATATATTGTTGTGAGAAAAAAAAAAAAAAGTTTGTGCAACCAAGAAATTAAAAAAATCCCACTTCAAGCATGTGATGTTCTTTATAGCACTGTTGGAATAGCAAAGTCACACATTCAAAAATAATTAGCAGCGTTATGGCAATTTGCTTTTCACAACAAGTGACTATTAGAAACACTAACTGTTGATTGTCTTTACCAAACTGCACAGGTACAGTCAGCATGAAACAGCATTTGCATATAACTTGAGTAATGTGACATTTCAATAAAAGCTTGTTTCCACCGCAGGACAAAAAAATACAATTAAAAAAGCTAATTGCGACTTGCACTTGTGAGATATAAACTAGCAACTGTGAGGAAAAAAAATCATAATTACAAAATAAAAAGTCACAATTACCCATTTTATTTTTTTTATTTGGTGGAAGAAACAAACAAACAAACAAAAAAATGTAAAATCAGAATTGCGAGGAATAAGTCAGTTTATATCTCACAATTCTGACTTTTTTTGCTCAGAATTCAGAGTTTACAGAGTTCACAATTCTGACTTTTTCCCTTAGTACGCTGAGTTTACATTATCACAATTCTGACTTTTTTCTGAATTGCGAGAAGTTGCAGTTACCTTTTTATTTTATATTCTGTGGCAGTAATGGACTTCGACCCATTTCTGAGCGATACTGGATATGCAACAAGAAAGAATATGTAAAGTGGGATTTGATTTTAGCCAGCAAATGTTGAAATATTATTTGTTGTTGTGTACAGGTATGTAGTACATCACTGTTTGGTTGTGCATGTGAACACACTCAAAGCCTGATAGCTACTGCATTTGATTATTTATTTCTATTACTATTTTCCAGATGGACAACAAAATAAATCAAATAAACAAACAAACAAATCCACTTTACATTGATGAATCTTTTCCCACTGAAAAAAGATGAACGTGTTTTATAAAAGTAAATATTATCGATTTTGAAAGACAAACAAGAGAGACCGAAATTTTGAAAATAATATTTGTTGTGGTATATACAATAGTTCATCAGTTTTGTTGCACAAGCCTGACAGCAATTTAATAATTGATTTAGATTTTCCTGATGGACAAAACAACAATAACTAACTAACAGTTTTAAGCAGAGTGAGTTATTACATTTTTGATTAATTTTTCCCCTCTGGTATAACATTTTCTGATAAATCATGCCCAGGAATGTATATTAAGAAAGTATATAAAATCAATTTTGATTTCATTTTGCCTGAAAGACAATCAACAGAGACAGCTGGTCATATCTGATGCTGATACATAAAATGTTAAACAGCCAAAGTAACCTGCTAATCATTTTTGTAACTATGAAGAAATACATGGTGATCAGCACAGGCCAGTGAAGAGATGCTGGCAATCATGACAACCCAACACCCACATGAGATGAGCAAGGCTGGACAAGACGACACACAGGAAATGACAAAGCATTCCAATAAAGAGCTTATATAAAACATGCTCCTTCAGGAACACTGTGATGATAGTGACTCGGCACAAGCAAGATTAAGCTTATTTTTAAGGCTTCAAAATAGAAATCCTTTATTTTTTATATACCTCAAGGATAGAGGACAAAAGCTCTGTTCTAAAACCTTAGCGGGCGGCTTAACTGTCACTGAAACACAAACAGGGTTATTATCCTTAACTCCAAAAAAAAAAATGTGTTAATTGATATTGGTTGGTTGGATTGTGTTTAAACCTTCCTTGGCTATTTTCATGGTGAGTAACAAGTTGAAATAGTATAAAAGAGCAATTAAAAAATGTAGATTAAGTTTTTGAAGCTTGCGTTAGATAAAAACTCTAAAATGGATTCAGGGACTCTGTTAATTTTATTTTATTTTATTTTAGGCAGAGTAATATAATATCCTAAGAGAACTTAAACCAGCACAATTTAATAAAATATGTTTAAGACATTCTGGGCTGTGGCATATCAGTGGAGCTTCATTTAATAGTAGGAACTTGCTTGTGAGTGTTAATTGAAATAAAGTTAAAATAAAAATATTATATGAAAAACTTTTTGAAAAATGAAAAATATTGCCGTGGCAACTGACAGAAATGAGTTTAAGTTGAAGCACTAAAATGACTAAATAATACTGAACAAAATCTAGAACTGAAATAAATAGTTAAAAAATAATAATAATAATCATGAAAGTCAAAAACTGACTAAAACATAAAAAAATTACTCAAATAAACCAACGTAAAAATTAAAAAAAAAAATTATTAAAAAAAAAATTAATTACAAATATTAATGAAAAGCATGATAGTATAAATAACAAAAAAACACTGCTCATAAGTAATAATTTCAAATGTTCTTCATCAGCAGCACAATAGGCTGAACACAAATTTCACTTCTGTCAGTGCTGATAGCGTCGCGACAGTGCACCGACATATCGGGGTCAGTGTTGAGTAAAGTTATTTTTAAAAGTAATGCATTACAGTTTTGCATTACTCCATAAAAAAGTAACTAATTGAGTTGCTTAGTTATGTAGTTTATGTAAAGTAATGCATTACATTACTTTTGCGTTACTTTTGGTCACCTGGACTGGGCTTGCTTATTAATGTTTTTAATAACCAAAAACCCAAAAGTTCAATTTGAAAAAAGTGAAATTAAGCCTCAGGGTGAATGAAGTGCCTCTGTCTCTGCCCCTCACTCCCAATTTCTCTCAACACGGGACAGGAGAGGTGTCAATGAATAAATGGGAAAACAAAGTAACTTGCGTTACTTATTTGAAAAAAGTAACTCAGATATTTCATTGTAAATTTAAAAGTAATGCATTACTTTACTAGTTACTTGAATAAAGTAATCTGATTACGTAACTCACGTCACTTGTAATGCGTTACCCCCAACACTGATCGCAGCGTTGTGCCTCGGGCGTCCCGAGTTCAAGCCCCGGCTTGTGGACCTTACCTGATCTCGCACCCCTCTCTCTCCCACTTCACTTCCTGTCCTATCCAAATAAAGGCTAAAAACGGCAAAAAAACTAAACAAAACTAAATTCAATTCTCCTTTGATTTTCATTACAGCTTTACATTAGCATGCTGCTAAGCTAACAGTGCAATACTCTAACAAGCATAAAAAAAAGCACACACAAATACTTAGTAAAATAATCAATGTTTATTTCTAACAATACTTTGAGACTGATTTAAAAAAAAAAAATATATATATATATATATATATATATATATAATAACCTTTTCTTTCCGCCATCTTATTTATTTTTCACTGAGCTCATTGCAATACATTCTGGATTTTGATTCTCCTCAGAGTAAAAGTGGTTCTGCCTTAGAATCAGGTTAAAACGAGGTATCTAAGGCGGCAGAATAATTCATTTACCCAGTGTTTGGAGCAGCCTTAGCGCCTATGGTGTCTCGCAATGCAGCCTCTCTAGGCAGCTCACTAGGTTGTGGAACAGAGCAAATGTAAAGCAATTTTTAGAGCTCATCCATCATCACTTTTCCTGTCAGGAACGGTTGCAATAGTATTTCACCACCATGCAAGTCTTTTTCACATATCAACAACTGCAGATAGCATCACGACTTGAAGAACTTCAGGAAATCGAAACACCAGACAGTCAATTAGCAAACGTCTTGAGTATGCAGACAACATCAGAGACATTTTTGAAAAAAACACGGGAATATAGAAACAGATCTAAGTGGCCTGTTACTATACCTGACCTTTTGATCTCATACCTGATAAATCCTTTTTTGGTGCTCCTGCAGACAAAAAGAATTGTATGCATGAAACAGCCAGAGGCAGGTGCACCACGACTCCATCATTGAACTAGCTGCAGCCTGTCTGTACGACCGTGATCAACATGCTACTCTTCTAGCTCCTGGTCCCACTTCTATCCAGTGAGGAGACCCTGTGCCTGTGCGTTTGGGGTTACCTGCTCTCCCTCGGTGAAGACCCGGGTGCCGAAGCTCCACGTGATGGTGGGTGTGGGGTCTCCGGTGGCCTCGCATGTTAATGTGACCTGTTCATCCATTTCTGTTGTAGTCTGGCTTTCCAGATATGTGATTTTGGGTTTCACTGAGAGGACATTAATAGATATTAAAAGGACATTGTTTACATGGTTCACTGTTTACTCAACCTAATGACGTTCCAAACATTTTGTGCAACACAAAAGTAGATGTCTTGCAGAATGATAATTTAAATATGTGACCCTGGACCACAAAACCTTAGTCTTAAGTGTCAATTTTTCAAAATTGAGATTTATACATCATCTGAAAGCTGAATAAATAAGCTTTCCACTGTTTGTTAGGATAGGACAATATTTGGCTGAGATACAACTATTTGAAAATCTAAATCTGGAATCTGAGGGTGCAAAAATCTAAATATTGAGAAAATCGCCTTTAAAGTTGTTCAAATTAAGGTCTTAGCAATGCATATTACTAATCAAAAATGAAGTTTTGATATATTTACGGTAGGAAATTGACAAAATATCTTCATGGAACATGATATTTACTTAATACCCTAATGATTTTTGGCATAAAAGAAAAATCTATAATTTTGACCCATACAATGTATTTTAGGCTAGTGCTACAAATATACCCCAGCGACTTAAGACTGGTTTTGTGGTCCAGGGTCACATATGGCATGTAAAGACAAGTTTTGATGGCCAAGTTTCCATATCTTTTGCAAATTATTTTGCCAATTTTTGGACCAACAGAAGTGTGAATGAGATTTGACAGCAGCTTTCAGTCTATTTCTATTATAAGACTTGAAATATGGTCATATAAACTACAGTACTATTGTGGTGTTTTCTCGCCATTTTTAGAGCTTGCCGGCATCCATCACCATTCACTTTCAATGTGGAAGAGAGCAACGTGAACATTCAGATAAATATCTCCCTGTTTTGTTTTATTTCATTCAAAATGTGTTTAGGATTTGATAGAAATTCAAAAATTTTCCCATGTGAAACCTTTTCAAAACACATTTCAAGGAGGAAAGAAAACAGTTTGCCAAGTGGGCCATTTCTTTAAGGCATAAAACAATATATTCATGCCACTACACTTTGTTCTCTGCAGAATAAAACGGAATTATTATTTTTTTTTTTGTCATTGCTGAATTTTCAGTATGAACTTTCTGTCAAAAAAAGTGTGCTGTCAAATCTCTAGACTCCTGCGAGACGTCATCTCTCATGAATTCTTACCAAAGACTTTAAGACTAAGTTCTTGTTCGCTCTCCCCAGCTTTGTTCTTAGCAATGCATGTGTAATCTCCATCATCCAGCTTTGTCACTTCTAGTATTGTCATCTCAGAGCCGTCTTCATTGAAGTTGTATTTTTCGCCGCTCTCCAGTGGAACGTTGTTCCTGAGAGGAAATAAAGTACTAACATATTGAAACAATACAGCAATGGGAGAGACTAATCTGAACATTTTCTTTTCAAAGAGCCTGCTCTGCAAGGCATGCAAAATTCAGAGGAAAAATAGTTGGAGTGATTAACTAGGGGTTTTCAAACTTTTTAATGATGCAAACTCCAAAATATGATGACACCCTTTCAAAATTATGCTCTCTCTCTCTCTCTCTCTCTCTCTCTATATATATATATATATATATATATATAAGTGATAATTAAAAATATAATCATGTAATAATAGTATATAATATTATTAAATATAATTATTAAAAAATAATAATAATAATAATAATAGTAATAAAAACAACATATATTAAATTATTATATTACTTAATATTAGTAGTATTAATAATGATAATAGTAATAGTAATAATGATATCATTTATTATAATAAATTATACTGAATTTATAAAGACTAAAATATAAAGAAACAATTGAAACTGTATAATATATTTAGTTTAATAAAAACTATAATCAAATAAAAAATAAGAAATATTAAATAATTGTACTGAATAATAACAATAAATTGTTATTACTATTATGTTAAATTGTTGTACTGAATGTTAATAATAAAAAAAATTACACATTTTTGTGCATTAAATTAAGTAATTATAACAAATTTATAAAGAATAAAAAATATAAAGATATAAAAAAATATAATACTGTGTATAATATATTTTGTTTAATAAGAAACCATAATAAAAAATTATACATATTGAATATTTGTATTTAATAATAATAATAATAAAAAAATTATTATTATTTCCTCATTCTTTTTATTATTACTATTAAACCCCAGGCACAAGTTTGAAAACCAGTGTATTACAATTTCCTTTTAGATCCTGCTGCGTCAAAATATTATTTTTAATATATTTTTAAGTTACACATTTTTCCATACACCCCTATGTTTAATATTCACCTACTGAGATTTTACTGATTTAAAAAAACAAACAAAAAAAACAAAACAAAGAAAATTGGAAACTGTTAGCCAAACTCTACCTTTCATTCTACTTCTATTCGCCCCTCTATTAGTGGTCTTTGTGGAGACACTCTTGAATTCATGGGGTTCTTGACCACAGTGGTGATCCCTTGATTTAAGGTCAAACAAGTAATAAATATACCATAACCCTTGTCAGAGGAGAGGACCGGAGTTATTTTGAGACAAATAAACACCTCCTTCCCCCATCCCCCCTCCACGACCGAACAAAAGATCCTTGAGGCGTGTTGTATCATCCCGAGGGATTCGTGTCTCACACGCTCTCCTCCACGAGCAGAGAGAGTACGCACTCCCGCTGAGAACACGGTGATGGCTGAGGAGAGACTCACACTTTAATTACACATTTTTGTGTATTAAATTACGTAATTATAACAAATTTATAAAGAATAAAAAATATAAAGATATAAAAAAATATAATACTGTGTATAATATATTTTGTTTAATAAGAAACCATAATAAAAAATTATACATATTGAATATTTGTATTTAATAATAATAATAATAAAAAAATTATTATTATTTCCTCATTCTTTTTATTATTACTATTAAACCCCAGGCACAAGTTTGAAAACCAGTGTATTACAATTTCCTTTTAGATCCTGCTGCGTCAAAATATTATTTTTAATATATTTTTAAGTTACACATTTTTCCATACACCCCTATGTTTAATATTCACCTACTGAGATTTTACTGATTTAAAAAAACAAACAAAAAAAACAAAACAAAGAAAATTGGAAACTGTTAGCCAAACTCTACCTTTCATTCTACTTCTATTCGCCCCTCTATTAGTGGTCTTTGTGGAGACACTCTTGAATTCATGGGGTTCTTGACCACAGTGGTGATCCCTTGATTTAAGGTCAAACAAGTAATAAATATACCATAACCCTTGTCAGAGGAGAGGACCGGAGTTATTTTGAGACAAATAAACACCTCCTTCCCCCATCCCCCCTCCACGACCGAACAAAAGATCCTTGAGGCGTGTTGTATCATCCCGAGGGATTCGTATCTCACACGCTCTCCTCCAACAAGCAGAGAGTATGCACTCCTGCTGAGAACACGTTGATGGCTGAGGAGCGACTCGCACTTTAAAAGTACTAATGGTGTGTTTTTCTATTCCATGTCATCCAAAAAAGTGTTTCTCCTGGGGTGATTTTGTGAAAGAATATGGGCTTACCGTGCCCAGGTCACCATCGGCTCAGGAAATCCGTCAGCATCACAGGCCAGCAGGGTTGAGAAGCCCATGTCAGCGGTGCCATTCGTTTCCGCTTGACGGATTCGTATAGTGGGCAGGACTGAGCAGAAAAGAAAATTGCAGCTTTGATATGTGGTGCCGAATAAAACTTCTAAAGCTTAACCCTCTTAGCTACATACCATTTTTTTATCTACTTCAAAAAGAACACAAATATAATTAATATAGGTTTTTAATATATGTTTTTAAAACCGTTTTTACCTTAAGGCAACATTGTACCATTATGGAAAAAAAAATTGTTTTCCTACAAAATAAGAGTTTTATATATATATATATATATATATTTTAGGGGTGCAATGGTTCTCGGTACAAAATCAAACCGTACTGTTCTCCACACACGGTTCGGCATGCACTAGGACCACGGTTCAACTTAAATCTGACAATGTGATTACATATTATTATATGTAATAATATGCATATTATCTGTAATATGGTTTGTTATAGTTCGGCTAATGCATGTTTCTGTTGATGGATACAAATTCTGGCTTCCCAATACATTACAACAAGAGCGATGAGAGAGAGAAAAAAACAAACAATACGTGGCCAAACCAGTCACTCTTTAATCAACGCGAGTGCTTTATGCTGGAATAACTGTAATTTATGCCGTCATCACATGTTGATAGTGCAGGTGAGACCTGAACAGCACACGTTGCTATCCGTGTTTAAACTAAACTCATTTAAGCCTTGCCAATTTAAATATTAAAGAGCCAGAAGACGTGAACTCACGCCGTGAGAAGATCTGTGTGTTCGCTCATCCGAAGCGCGTGAACCCGCGTCTCAGAATGCACGCAAATATTAAGCTCTCTGTGAAGTATTGTGTTTGAATGGACAAATTCACACAAAAATTGTCAAAATGCCCATCTTGGTGAGTATCCTAGCAGACATAGTCAGCTGAACGTACAGTATCAGTGCACTGGATCAGTGTGTTCTCTTAAAGTGACAGCACTTTCTTAAAGTTAATCAAACAGCAACAACATGGAAATCTCTCACTGCTCTTGATTGAATGACTTTTGTAAATTTAATAAGGATTCATCTTTAATTTATACAATCAAATATGCAATGTTATTTTACATTTGATTTATTCCATTTCTGTACCTAAAAACTACGTTAGACCTACCTAAAAAAAACCTGAAAAGCACGGTTTATTTTATTATATATATATATATATATATATATATATATATATATATATATATTTCACACATGCATAGCCAAATCAATTTCAATAAAATATAATCTAACATTTAATCAGAAATCATGTTGTATATACACTTGTTGCCTTCAGGGAACAACCATTACAGAACAAGAAATTAGCACTTTATAGAAATTGAAAATGCCAGAATGTGAACCTCCTTGAATACGAATATAAATATATACATAATAAGGGGAAAAATAAGTAAAAGTATGTAATGTACAACTACAAAATTCTATTGACTCCATTATAGTACAATGTTGCCTCAAGCCTCAACGTGCACAGTTTCATAAACTTTTGATAATGTGTATTATATAAAGTTATTCAAATTACATCTTTACTCTTTCATAAATGTGGCTTTTGATGAAAAAGACAGTTACACTGTTCAAAGGTTCACTTTGATCACATTCACAAAGAGAATTTGGCACTGCAGCAAATCTGGCACATGCAGAAAAAGGAATCAAATTGGCTGCCAATGGATGATATAACCAATTTTTGTGTAAATATTTGCTGCTCCTCTCTTGATAAAAAGGAACTCACAAATTAAGTGCTGTATTTTGTTACTACGGCCTGCACTGTGGTCGCTCAAGCAGACTAAACAACAACATAAAGAGAACCTGCCAAGGAGTCAAATTGAACTCAAATTAGAAAACAAATAAACAGAAAGGCAGACATAAGAGGTGAAATTATATTACCGGGTTTACTGCAGCAAGGAAAACGACAAAGCAAATAAGAAAGAAATCAAAAGGAGATGAGAGAAAAATGTCTGTGGAGCAGCTTGACAACAGCTACTTCAAAAAACCGTCTGATCCTCAACACAAAACACTGAGCTTTATACACCAACACAGCTGCTGATCAAATACACATTTGTGTATTGTGTGTATATTGTGATAGATTCTTTTAGCTAAATCAAAAGAGCTTTTCTTAACCAGTTAGCACTATGCTAAACTAGTAGGCTAAAGAAATGTATAATTTGACCAATTAAGCTTGTAATCCAATTTAATGGGATTAATGAGCTATTTAAATTATGAGAATAAAAATCTAAAGAATGAAACAATGTAAAGCATTTGTATAATTTGTCATTTGAGACATGTTGTCTCAGCCAGTGGAATGGCTCTGGCGTCAAAGTGGGATCGGATTCTGCGGGGATCTTCTACCTCACCTGAAATGTCCAAATCCAGAGCATTACAGGTACAAAAAGATGAATAAGAGCTCACCGTTAACAACCACTTTAATGCTGCGGAAGTCAACCTCTCCTCGGGCTTTAATGCGGCCCTCACAAGTGTAGACACCCTCGTCGGTCTTCCTGATCCCTCGGATTTGGAGATGGTTGTTACTCAAAGTCCTGAAACGGACTGTGGAACAGAACAAGGGTGGAACAGATGTCTGCAAAATTGCGTATTAAAATCGCATGCAAAATGATCAATTTAACACTTTTTTTTCATCGGTTATCACAGGGATTAATAAAGTGCCACATTTCTGAGAAAGCAGCATTAGGCTGCACTAATGATCTCATCAATTTATTAATGAACGCAAACAGTGAGAGTTAAAGCAAAGCAAATCACACTTCTTATGTAACGCATTATTTTTCACATGTAAAGTGTGGAACTTTTGACGTACCATCTTTTTCGAACTGGATCTTTGCACCTTTGTATTTCCAGAGGACGGTGGGTGGAGGTGAGCTCATGACGTCACACACTATAATGGCATTGTCCCCTTCAGTGAACTCTTGAGGTGATGGGACATTTGTGAAGGTAATTTTTTCTGGAGGAAAAAACAGTCCAGCAACAACTGATTATGATGCAGCAATGATTAATTTTGTATTGTTGTAGTCTACAGCAAGGAACCAAGTCATCATCCAAAATAAAGTCTCCTCAGAAGCATGGGCTGCAACTTGTATTTTAAAGTGACTTAGAAATATATAGTGCATTTAACGCCAATCACGCAAAACATTTGGTTTTGTGCTAAATGGGTTCAAGTTTACTTTGTATAGTGTATTTCCATTTCACTTTAAATAAATTCATTTAGGCTTGACGTTTATAATAAATTTTTATAATGAATGCCACTATAGTTTGTGTTTGCTTTAGGGCTGTCAAAATAGTTGAAAAACTAAATTCGAATTTTGTACTTAAATATGATCAAAATTCGAGTTATATTCGAATTTAAAATGCATAATTTCAGTTAGGGGGAAGAAAAGCGTTTGGCTTCTCTCCTGAGGCCACAAGAGGGTGCATCAAGCAAAATATTACTAATGCACGTTTATTCAAAGCATAAGATAACATGACTATCTGTGAAAAAAAGTGCATAATTTTTTTTAATTGCTTAGACGACCTACAATAATGTACAGTATTTGAAAAATAATGTGTATTTTGACATTAAAGCATGTCAACATATTCTGTTACACCAAATACACAAAATAATGATCTTTAAAATAGCATCATATGACCCAATTAAAATGCACGTCCTTAATATATTTTAATAATGTAGTAACAAATTTTCATAAAAGCAACAAGGCACTCAAGGGTGTAATCCCTATAATCAACTTGCTTAATCAACTATAAAAAAACAGCATCATGTATGTATGCATAGTTTAATACAAAGGGCGGAAAGCCAATCACACAGAGTATATTTTTCATTTAAAAACATGAGATGCAGTGGGATGGGGGGGGGGAAAAGCATTCATTTTACATGGCTTTCTGAACATGTGATGAGATGCAAGTGCAACGGTGATAGATGTCCCTCTAGAAAATGCGATAAATATGTGTTCTGTGTGAACGGCTTGGTTTCAGTTTTGATGTAAACAAGATCTTCTCCGCATTGATGTTCTCTTTTTCCGCAGTATTTTCAATGAACAACGCAGCAATGCCGCATCTAGTGGCTTCAACTGGACAGGCTAACAAAAACATTATAATGCAACGACACTTACATCGTCATCGCATCTCGTGTACCACTGATAAGGCTGCCTCCTTAACGGACACCTAAAATTCGAATGCAACGTTTTTGCATTCGAATGTGGATTTTTATTTTAAATTCACTTTTTTTTTTTGACAGCCCTAGTTTGCTTTATACTTACATTTTTCATTCCTGTTCTGTTCTGAATACCATTCAAATTAAAGGATTTGTTGTTGAGTGAGGGGAATTAATATACATGTTTATAGTGTTTGTAAAAATTTAGTTTTATTTACTGGCATTTTACATTACGTTTACATTACATTTACTTGACTGATGCAACATTTCAGTTTTTTCTTTCTCAACAATGTAATTTTGACCCGGTGCGACTTGTGCCATTTATTTTCTGGAAAATACAATGAGCAGAAGCATAAGTGAACATTTTAACTGTTGACGGAACTAAAGAAATTGAGATGGAGACCCTCGAATGCAACGTTTTTGCATTCGAATGTGGATTTTTATTTTAAATTCACTTTTTTTTTTTTTGACAGCCCTAGTTTGCTTTATACTTACATTTTTCATTCCTGTTCTGTTCTGAATACCATTAAAATTAAAGGATTTGTTGTTGAGTGAGGGGAATTAATATACATGTTTATAGTGTTTGTAAAAATTTAGTTTTAATTACTGGCATTTTACATTACGTTTACATTACATTTACTTGACTGATGCAACATTTCAGTTTTTTCTTTCTCAACAATGTAATTTTGACCCGGTGCGACTTGTGCCATTTATTTTCTGGAAAATACAATGAGCAGAAGCATAAGTGAACATTTTAACTGTTGACGGAACTAAAGAAATTGAGATGGAGACCCCACAATTGGCACAAGGAATGTTCAGACCCTCTCCAACTAGTGTGCCAAACTTCATATGTTTTTCCCGTACAATACATAGAAAACGTGAATTTAAATTTGACATCACAACTTTAATTTTGCCATACTACTTCATATATTCTTCCAGCACAGATGAATCAAACATGTCATATCTTACGGTATATCTTCAGATTGACAGTGGCTTCGGCTTCCCGATCACCACTGCTGGCCACACATTTGTATGTGCCAGCGTTGTCAACCTTGGCGTTATAGATGGTGAGAGTGGAGGACGTCTCGTCATTGCGAATCACGCTGACATCCAGTCTGCCCGGCTCAATTTTCTCCCCGGTTGGAGCAAACCAGTCGATTTCCTTGGCCCCACCGATAACTACAACCCAAACCAAATAAACATATCAACATTAATGAGGTGATCTCATGAATTAAATGTGTCATCATATAAATCAATCTGTTAAACGTTAAGCTTGTGTAAACATCCACAAAGCAGAGGTGAATCAATCAAAAGCAAATCAGGCCTGGCGCGATTGAATTGTTTGCTTGAATTAGTTGGGATTAGGTGTCGCTGGCACAACAGCTGTCAGAAGGCACAACCTAAAACTTCAAGCGATTCTCAGGATACCAGTCTATTACCCAAACCAGTGGACCGTAGGACACAGCACTGGTGAAGCCTCTAGTGCTGAGAGCAATTATCAGAGCCGCTGTTCCATGCCTTTGGGTCTTCAAATGAAGCCCAGAAGAGTGGAACCAGGAAAAACGTTTTTCAAAGTGAGATATAGGCACACAAAGGTGTAACGTATTCCTCTTGTAGCCTTATTCACATGGATCTCATTTACGGAGTCCTCTGTGATATTTGCTGACATAGAACACCATCAGCAACATTAAAGTTGAATTCACTTTACACTAGTGACACTAGTACACTAGTGTACTATTTCAGCAAATGAATCATCTAGAAGTTTACTGCTTTTTTTTAGGTCACAAAAACATGAAAAACCAGACCTTTTAGGAATCAGGTCACTAAAACTGTGTACCAGATTTTTAGAAGGTAACATTGAGAAGATTCATAAACAGGGCACACACATATTTAAATACAGACAGTAGAAACAGGTGGTCATTGAGTGAAAGGGGTTTTCTTCCAAGTACTCACATACGATGATCCCCTTTCCTAAACTATAAAAGACAAATATATATTGCAATATATAAAGCCCCTATTTCTACTGTATGTGAAATGTAGTAAATGTAATATGAAAACAATATATTTGCAAAATTAAATAATTGTTTTTATACTGTCATTCACTGTGTTATAGCCAAAAGAATAAAAATATTTATTTAGTACTAAGTTTGTTTTTCCAAACCACTATCAGTTAGATGCATAAATCTGTTGAGAAACATTATCAACTGAAATTCACTTCTCACAATAAATGCTGTTCCAACGCAGTTTTGCAAAGAAAATTGGCTTAAAAACCCCAGTGAACAAGATAAAGGCAGCACAGGCTGAGAAAGATTCATACATTCAAAAATAGTTTGTATTTGTGCTCTCGCTCTCTGAAATATTTATTTTATTTCAGCATTTATTCAGCAAGGATGTATTCAATTGATGAGAACATTTATAAGGTTACAAAAGTTTTAATGTTTTACTGTATCAAATTCTTACTATTAAAACCTATTGCTGCAAATATCTAAACAGAATAAAATAATCACAGTAAAATCTCATGATCAGAATGAAACCGTAAATGATGTCAAATTCTTTTTTTTACCTTCTTTTCTCTGAAATTGTTTACAAACCCCAAACAACCCTTTCCCTAGAGCCCAGTTTGAAAACCCCTAAACCCTGCTCTAAACTAAATTTCCTTTCCCGAAGGAAACACATTTGCTCATAAAGCAGAAAATGTGCAGTGTTAATGTTACTGGTTAAATAACAGCAGGAGAGAAAGATTGACATTAATATGCAATACAGACGGAGAAACAAACTAGGGATGTAACGATTCACTCAACTCACAATTCGATTCGATTCACGATTTTGATTTCACGATTCGATTCGATGCACGATTATTTATTTATTTTTTTACAAAATTAGATTTAAGACAAATTATAAATTAAATTTGTCCTTTTATTATTGCTTGGACAAAATGCTGCACATTTCTTTGTGAAATTGAAATATAACACTATAATAATATACTAATTTAGCACTTGCATATTATTAATCTTTTGTTGGTTTTGATTGCTTCTATTGTCCCCATTTGTAAGTCGCTTTGGACAAAAGCGTCTGCTAAATGACAATATTTTAATATAATGTAAATGTAAATAACAAAACTACATTGAAATTTTAAAACAAGCCCCAAATCAAATAAATAAGTAACACAAATAAAATAAATCTCTTCATATAAATAAACTAAGGCTCTGTCTGTGCTCTTTCCATTTAAAACTCGAGGCAACCACTGGATTTTAATCATGATCCAAACAAAGATGCTGCATACATGCAACATGAGCAGTTTTTAATCTAAATTAGATTGTATAATTTCGAAATTTGAAGCAAAAACAGAATGGTTTGACTTCAGTTTTGTGAAACTATACATAAAAATATCTGCATGAAACAGCGGACGAGTTGAATGAGACGCAGATTCACTCTCTGCCAGCAATCCTTGGTTTCCGCTGTAAACAAAGCAGCGCTGAACTTATGAACTTTAATATGCGTTATACAGAGGCAAGATGAAAAGAAAAAATACCATCTAAACTTTTCTAAAGACATTAAGTTCCCCTCAGACATACACTTATATAAACTTCTACACCTAAATGAATCGCGATTTGTTTGGCATCTCAATCGATTTGAATCGTCACATATTTGAATCAATTTTCAACCGGCTCGCGGTTAATCGTTACATCCCTAAAACAAACCCATTACAATTTGGTAAACAAAGAACACAATAACATCAATGTCAAATTGATTTTGAATGCCA